GAGAAGAAAAATAAATTGAGCGAAGATATAGTAAGAAAAATAAAAGTAAAGAAAATCGCAAAAAGTTAGAAATTAATTGAGAAAAGATACAGTAAGAAAAAAAATGTAAAGAAATCGCAAAAATTTATAAATAAATTAAGAAGGAATAACAAAATAAATAAAAATTTTAAAAAATTACGATTTTCCTTTTTTAAATGGGAATTTTCTTTTTTTGATTGACGTTTTTCCTTTCCTTTTAAAAATTTTCCTTTTTCGATTGACACTTTTCCTTTTTTGATTGGACCTTTTCCTTTTTTGTTTGACACTTTTCCTTTTTTGATCGGACTTTTTCCTTTCTTTTGGGGAATTTTCCTTTTTTGATTGACACTTTTCCTTTTTTGTTTGGACCTTTTCCTTTTTTGATTGAACCTTCTACTTTTATGATTGACTCTTTTCCTTTTTTGATTGGAACTTTTCCTTTTTTGAATGGGAAACCCTGTATATATTTGTCGCTTTTAGTAATTTTGTCTTATAGTTATATGCCTCTCCTTTTTTATATTAATACTAGCAAATAACCCGTCAAGAATGACGGGGTTGAGGGGTAAAGTTTGTGTTTATGGTACTAAATATACTTTATTAATATATTTTATAATATATTACAATTTAGGAGAAAAAGATGCAAATTTGAGAACACCTCATAAGATATTCTTAATTTAAACTAAGATGACTCGTTTTTCTAGATGGGCAAAATGAAAAATATATTACTAAGTGTACCAGAGCTCCCTAATCATCATTGCTGAGCCCGTCAAAAATGACGGGGAATGAGAATTTTCTCCTTACTCTTATGATAGTTGTTACCTGTTATTTGAAAATGCTAATACGGTGGACAAGACGAGAAAACGTTATATAAAAATTTCTTTATTTTAAATTTATTTTACAAAATTTGAAAACTACAAATAACTAAAAAGTAACTAAAAAACTAAATATAAAATGAGGTATATATATATATATATGTATTATAAAAAAACAATTTAAGCGAAAAACAAGGTTACAGGCTAACAGATTTAATAGGTTAAGTTAAAATAATAGCAATTTAAGTTAAACGAATTTAAATATATAAAAAAAAATCAATCTCAATTAACAAAAAATAATATCTATTTTTTATAACCCCCTCCCTCCTTCAGACCAAGTCCAATCCAAAGTGTAAATGCTATGTTTTGAGAAATATATTTGAAGCTTTTACTTGATACCCATATCAATATTATTTGTTGAAATATTACTGATCACCTATGCCTAATATTTAATATTGGGAAAATTCCAAGCAGGGTCCAAGGCCATAATAATTTTGAAAAAATTACCCAAACCTCAACCAAAGATAGTAATACTTTTGGTAGTTTAGAACTTGAATAAAATATGCACCTTGATTTTTGATCAGGCCGAGCCCAGGCCTGCAAAATAATTTGTTTTAGGTCAATGTCTGATCCATAGTTAATAATAAAAAAACTCCCAAGCATCCAAGTTGATAATAATTTAAAAAATTTTCCCCAAGCCCAGCCCACTATAATTTATAAATATATTTTACAAACCCAGTCCGACCCATTATAATTTTAAAAAATTTTTCTCAAACCTGGTCAACTGATAATAATTTTGAAATTTCTTTCCCAAGCCCGGAGCTTCCAATAAAAAATAATAAATATTGATATAATTAAATAAATTTATCAAAATATAGTTTCATATAAAAAAAGAATTGTATTACAAAATTAATAGAAGGGGGCTGAATTGGAAAGAACATTTGCCTATGGAACGTTAAGTCAGGGATCGAATCTCGTTGATGGAAAAAAAAATTTTCTTTTTTTTAAAAATGGAGGTATATGATAGTAAAGTTTAGAAAAAATAAAAATAACATTAAGATTATACGAAAACCTTCATTTCTTGATTACGGTGATTATATATATTAGATATGTTCGCTTACTCAAATAAAGAAACAATTGAATGAAAAAATAAATGCATATAAAAAAAATTAATTAGGGATTTTAAAAATAATCAGGATATTAAAAGGAATTTTTTTCATGATAATTTATTTTATTTCTTAAGTAGCAAGTAAATTATTAAATATTGTAAACATAATAAATTCTTAAAAATAACTCTTTAAAAAGCCAGGAAAGGAATCAAATTGTAAAAAAAGTTATTTTTTTTAATTGATATAAACTTAATTTGTGAATGTATCAAATTTATCATTAACTTTTTCTGTTTTAAAAAAATTTTTTAAACTCCAATTTAAATTTTTTCTATCTGAATTCATGTTTTCAATTGCAAAAAATTATTAATTTTTTATCAAAGTTGCGAACATATCTAGTGATTTTGCTTAAAACAAACATTATCTTGTTTGTGTTACAAATCAAATTATTCTAAACTACAAGCATAAAAATTATTCGTGCCCAAATCATCGATAGATACTGAGATATATTAATCTAATTATTTATAATTAAGATATGAAATTTATTATTTATCAGTTAAAATTAGGTGTAGACAATTAAACAAATTTAGTTTAGACAATTAAACATAAATAATTTGTATTGTTAAAAAATCGTATCAGGTCAATTCAGCGAAACTTTTATCGCGAATGTCGTTTATCGCGAAAAGTTTTTATAGCGAAGGTAAAATCGCAAAACCAATTCTGCGAATTTATCTTCGCGAAACATTAATAGCGAAGACAATTTCGCGAAGCCATTGTCGCGAAGACAATTTCGCGAAGCCATTGTCGCGAATTTATTTCCGCGAAACCTTAACCGCGAATTTATTAGAGCGAATACATTTTAGCGAAACATTTTATGCGAACACTTTACAGCGAATTTTTTATCGCAAATATGTTTGCGCGAAGTCATTATCGCGAGCGCATTACCGCGAAACAATAAATATATTGCGAATGCGAATGCATTTATTTAAAGGAAAACAACATATTATTTATTATTTGATGTTTTTTAATAAAAAATGATATGCTACTATTGTAATATTATTTTTGTTACAATTTATTAGTGATTTTCACGCCCAAGATTTTAAATAGAAAAAATATTTCTTGAAGTTCAAAAAAATTTTTGAACATATTATGATTAAAATTTTATATCTTCTTTGTAAATATATCTTTTTTAAGGAATTCTTTTGTGAAATTTATTATAAATATACAATTTTTAGGTGAAATCTTTTATAGTTTTTTTTATCATTTTCGTAAAATTATCTATTTCTTAAGTATATTAAAAGAGGTAGCTAAATAATTTTTTTTAAATATTTATATTTAACTTATTTATGTTATTTTATGATCTTTTTAAGGATAATATTTTAATGTGACAATTGTCATATTCGTTATTTTTAAGATTTTTTGACTCAAAAGGGTAAAAATATCATTTAGATTGTAAGCTAAATTAAAATTTCATGAAGATCTACCATTGAAAAGTGACAATTGTCATAATCGTTATTTTTAAAGTTTTTTGAATTTTTTTGACCAAAATGCGTTAAAATAAGTATTGCTAGTATGTTTAAATAAAACTTCAGTGAAGATGTTCCCTAGATAAGTGACAATTATCATAATCATTATTTTTAAACTTTTTTGACCAAAATGGGTTAGAATAAATATTGCTAGCATGTTTAAGTACAGTGAAGATGTACCGTAGATAAGTGACAATTATCATAATCATTATTTTTAAACTTTTTTTGACGTAAATGGGCCATAAGTATTGATAATATTTTAAATAAAACTTCAGTGAAGATGTACCCTAGATAAGTGACAATTGTCAAAATCGTCATTTTTAAAGTTTTTTGTATTTTTTTAACGCAAATAGGTAAAAATATAGATTGTAAACATGTTAAACTAGAATTTCATGAAGATGTACCATAAAAAAGTAACAATTGTCATAATCGTTATCTTATAACTTTTTAAAATTCTTTTGACGTAAATGGGCTAAAATAAGTATTGCTAACATGTTAAAATAAAATTTCAGTGAAAATCTATCTTAGATAATTGACAATTGTCAAAATCGTTATTTAAAGTTTTTTGTATTTTTTTAACGCAAATGGGTAAATATATAGATTGTAAACATGTTAAATTAAAATTTCATGAAGATGTACCATAGAAAAGAGACAATTGTCATAATTGTTATTTTATACCTTTTTGAATTTTTTAGACGTAAATGGGCTAAAATAAGTATTGCAAACATGTTTAAATAAAATTTCAGTGAAGATGTACCATAGATAAGTATCAATTGTCATAATCGTTGTTAATAAGGTTTTTTTGAATATTTTTGTTGCAAATGGGTTAAAATATAGATTGTAAACATGGTAAATTAAAATTTCATGAAGATATACCATTGAAAAGTGACAATTTTATAATCGTTATTTTTAAAGTTCTTTGATGTAAATGGGTTAAAATATAGTGTAATTCATTTTAACCATAATAAAATCTAAACATTAAATTTATAGGATGTTATTTGTATCATATTACTAAATAATATTCATATGGTTTTTAAGTTCTTTCTATAAAAATCCTACCCTGAATTCAGACTCAGCACTATTTTGCCACGAGTATACAAAAATATTTGCTTACTGTGAATCAGTGGAGTAGACAGGGGGGGGTTTGGGGTCGAAACCCCCCCATGGAAAAAAATTTTTTTTTAATTATTATTTTTTTATTGCGAATAATTATATTTAAAAAACGGTTTCAATTTAGAGAAATAAGATAATATATTATATATAATACAATATGAATATGAATATCACAATGAAATATATATATAAAAAAAGGAGTTTTAATTTTAAATGATCACATCGTTTAAAAATATATATAAATTATATGAACTAAAATATTAAATAACAATAAAAGAATAAAGATATATTGTATGTAAATAATTTCTGGCATAGTTAAATTTATTAAATAACAATAAAGATATTTTGTAAATATTTTCTGGCTTGGCATAGTTAAATATTTATAAATTTAATTATTAAATATATATTTTTAAACTATATAGATAGTTTGTAAATTTTAATTTTTTATAATTTTTAAATATGGATATCTGTAAGTTTTTTCGTCAACAACAAAAAGAAAAAGGTATATAAAAATTTAAGTTGTGTAATTTGAATTAGAAATATATATAGATATAGATGTTGCTCTTGCTAGTAAAAATCAGCCATCAGTTGAGTTGGTTTTCGTTGTATCCTCAGATGACGAAGGTAATGGTATTATTTATAATATCTTTTATTTAAATCTTGCAATTAGAAAGACCAGACATACCATTACCACTCCATGGGAAAACCAATGATGAGTTAGCTACAAAATCATCTGGAAAATCATCAAATGATGGTATAGTATTTATTTTAATTCCATTTTTTTTATTTGTAAATTATACTATTTTCATTTTGAGTTATTAAAATTTTGCAATGCACGATATTTAGTTATAATTTTAAAGTTAGTCATTTTTTTGTGTTATTTTGCAAAAGGTAGTACATTATAAGTCAAACAGAGTTAAGCAGTATTGAAAACTTGTATCTACAATACAAACAGAGTTGGGCAGGCCCTCCAAAAAAATAATCTAGATACAGATTTGTTATGAAAAAATGAATCTTAGATACAGATGATTTATCATTACCAATTAAACTAGAATAGTTTATAAAATACAGTTTTTATTATTTATTTGTGAAGAACATAATTATTTTCTTAAAATCTTTTGTATATACAATCTTGGGCAGCTATAATATTTAGGAACTTATTTTCATAATTTAAATATTACTACCTTCTTCACTTCCATGAGTGTAAATCATCCTACAAATATAAAAATATTAATTAAAACTGGTAATGATATTCTATAGTAATTTCCTTCTACTTGTATCTGTCTTTAAATTTTTATTAAGAAACTTTGATATCTATCTGAGATACATTTTTTATAATCCAGATTTTTTTCTTGTGCTGCTCAGCTCTTAACATTGAAATTCATATTGAAATATATCATTTAAAATCTAAAAAAAATATAGAAACACCACACCGTTCTCAAAAAGATGTTTCACTTTACTTAAATTTTCATTTTAAAAATGATAATGAAAAATTGTTAGCTGTTGAAAATATTTGGATACCTGACAAATGTTATAAATTTCCATTGCCCTTGGGCAAAAGAAATTTAACCTTTCAAGCATCCTGGCTTAACAAATATAAGTGGCTTGCTTACTCAGCCGATGAAAAGGGCGCATTTTGTAAAGTTTGCGTCATATTTTCCCCAAGATATGCTGGAAATGGGTTACAAAAACTCAAAACATTGGTAAGTCAAGTGTATACAAGATGGAAAGATGCGCTCGAAAATTTTAATTATCATCAAAAAAATAAATATCATCTTAATTCCTGTGAGATAATGGATTCTTTAAAAGAAATCTCAATGAATCAAAAGATATCAATATCTAATGTATTGAATAAAAAAAATTTTGATATTGTTACAAAAAATCGATCAAGAATAATTATAATTATTGATGCTATCATTTGGTTAGGGAGGCAGGGCTTGGCGTTAAGAGCTCATAGGATATCTCCTGGCCCCCTAACACTTACATCCCCTTCTCACAATGAAGGAAATTTCAAGGAATTATTGAAATTTTTATGTAATAATAATGACAACTACCTAAAGCTTTTTGAAAAAAATGCTACTTACCTAAGTCCCACTATTCAAAATGAAATAATATAAATATGCAATCAGTTTATATTAAAGGAACTTTCTTCAAAAGTCAAAGCATCACCATTTTTTAGTGTTTTGGCGGATGAAACTTCCGATATTGGTAATATTGAACAACTATCCATAGCAATAAGGTTTATTGATATGGAATCAGGTAATTATAAAATGAAGGAACTATTTGTTCAATTTATTGAATTACCTGACACTAAGTCAGAAACGATTGCTAATCAAATTATTAAATCACTTCAAAACCTGGATTTAAATTTAAATCTACTGAGAGGCCAAGGGTACGATGGAGCTCCCTCGATGAGTGGCCATGTTAAAGGGGTCCAGTCAAGAATTAGAGAGCTTTATAGCACAGCTCTTTATGTTCACTGCAGTTCACATTGCCTGAATTTGATGATAACTGAGGCATGTGAAATTAGAGACATCCGGAACAGTTTACGTAAAAAGATTTTGATTTAATTGAAATTTATTAGATTTTATTATGTATTATAGATATCTTTATATAATTTTTATATATTTTTCAAAATTTAGAAACAATATCGTCGGTTTGTGACTTCTTTACCCCACCCAAGAAGAGGGAGATTTTTACCCAAACGTTCGATGAAATTGATTCAAAAAATTCAAAAGATTTTGTCCCACAAGATTCATTGAAAGACAACAATCGGTGAAGGTTTTCATCGAGTTATATGAGGTTATTTTTGCGGCACTGGAATCATACATATTACGCAAAGAAAAAGATTCCGCAGATGCGGAAAATCTTTTACAGGCTATTACGAAGCCTCAATTTTTAATTTCAATTCAATGTGTTTATTTTTTATTTAATTATACATATGATTTTAGCAAAACGTTACAAAAAATTAATTTGGATTTAAGAGGTTATGAATAGGGCAAAGGATATTGTTGAAATATTAACAAATATCAGAGATAATGTGGATGAAAAATTTCACGAAATATGAAAGTAAAGGAGATCGCTAATATGTTTGGGATTGAAATTTTTAAACCTAGAGTAGTTTCTAGACAATCCAATCGCTCAAATATTGATGCATCTACGATTGAGGATTTTTATAAAATTAACATTTTTATTCCACTTATTGATACATTTTTATTTCAATTAAAGGAAAGATTTATAAGTCACAATTTTATTTTAAAAAGCTTTTATTTTCTTTTGCCGGTTGAGTCTGAATTGTTGATTACACTTGAAACGCGAGAGGATATTAAGAACATCTCAGAGTTTTATTCTGATGATTTATTAGGGTCGTATGATAAGTTACTTTGTGATGTCGAATTTTGGTATAAAAATCTTGGCAGAATAGAGTACTCTTTGAGACCAAAAAATGCTTTGCGGGCCCTTTCCATGTGTAATTGCACTTTAGATTCCCTGCCAAATATCAAAACATTGTTTTTTATTTTAGCTACTTTACCGATTAGTACCTGCACTAATGAAAGGTCTTTTTCAACTTTGAAAAGGTTAAAAACCTATTTAAGAAATAGCACCGGTGAAAACCGTTTAAATGGATTAGCCCTATTAAATATTTATAAGGAGATTATTCTAGATAAAAATTTGATTCTAGATGAATTAGCCAAATCTCAGAGAAAAGTAGACCTCTCTTTATAAATTCAAATCATATAATTGTAATATTTTCTTAGTCATAAAATTTTTATATGTAAAACTTAATTATAATGAATTTTTAGTCATGATATTTTTATACTATATTTATTAATAGTATTGCACCTACAATAAGAATTATTTATATAATATACTCATTTGTATTAAATATAACTGTTAAATTATATTTTTTTAAATTGCATACAAGAATTACTTATATTTTATTGTAATTTTATTTTTTTAAAATACAGATATTTACAATCAATTTTTAAAATAGTAATCTGTATAAAATTTCTAATTTTGAAATTTATTTTTTGTATATAAAATAAACACATAGTTAAATAAAGGGTTTATACTAAATAAAATTGTTAAATTGTATTTTTTTAGCAAGAATTACATATTTTATTGCAATTTTATTTTTTTAAAATATAGTTATTTACATTCAATTTTTAATATAATAATCTGTATAAAATTTATATATTTTGAAATTTATTTTTTTATATATTATTAAAATAAATACATAGTTAAATAAATAAAGTTAATAATAAATAAAATCTCTGCAAAATATTGTTATATGCAAAAATTTAATTAAAATAATTATTTTTAACATAGAATAAGATATATTGAGTTGATCATAAAATTGGAAGGTTTGGGGGGAGGCAAATTTTTTTTACATCGAATAGATTGAATTAATATACAATTTACTAAACATTGATAACATTTTCAAAATAATGCTTTCAGTCGCTTATTAATTATAAATTTGGCAAAAATTTTAATTCTAATATTTTTTAATATTTATGCTGGCCTGGGTATAATACACAACATATTGGCAAATTTTGATAAGGGGGTTTGGGGGCGAAGCCCCCAAAACTTTTTTCAAACCCCCCCCCCCCCCATAGATCAATCCTGGCTACGCCACTGCTGTGAATGCAAGGTTTTACATTTTTATAATGTAGCATTAAAATTTATTAATTAAAGGAATAAGATTGTGAATCCATATCTTAAAAGTTTAGAATTTAACATTGGTTACAGCTATCTTTAATAATCACTTTGCATATTTTTATCAAATTTTAAGCAGGATAAAAGGAACAACGATTGTGAGAATGAAAATATCGATTTGTTATATTGTTTGGACTGAAATTTAATATTAACATGTTAACAATTTATATTTTTGTCCAATTGTGTCAAACATTCAAAAACTTTAAAAATAGCGATTATGACTATTGTCACTTATCTAGGGTACATCTTCATTGAAATATTATTTTAACATGTTAGCAATTTATATTTTAGCCCATTTGCTTCAAAAAAATTTAAAAAACTTTAAAAATAACGACTATGACAATTGTCACTTATCTAGTGTACATCTTCACTGAAGTTTTATTTAAACATATTATCAATACTTATTTTGGCCCATATACGTCAAAAAAGTTTAAAAATAACGATTATTACAATTGTCACTTTTCTATGGTACATCTTTATGAAATTTTAATTTAACAAGTTTACAATCTATATTTTTACCCATTTGCATCAAAAAAATTCAAAATAAATTGTCACTTATCTAGGGTACATCTTCACTGAAGTTTTATTAATACATGTTAACAATACTTATTTTAACCGATTTACGTCAAAAAAATTTAAAAAACCTTAAAAATAACGAATATGATAATTGTCACTTTTATATGTTGCATCTTAATTAAAATTTTAATTTAACATGTTAAAAATACATATTTTACCGTAAAAAAAATCTAATATGTTTAAAAATACCGATTATGATATTTGTCATTTTTCCAAGGAACATCTTCAATAACGAATATAAAAATTGTCAGATTAAATTATTATCCTTAAAAAGATCATATACATAAATAAGTTAAATAAAAATTTTAATATACTTGAAAAATAGATAATTTTACAAAAATGATAAAAAAAACTATAAAAGATTTCCCTAAAAGATTGTTTATTTATTTTAAAATTCACAAAAGAATTCCTCAAAAAATATTAAAATTTTTATCAAAATACATTTAAAAATCTTTTTGAACTTCAAAAAATATTTTTTGCTTAAAATTTTTGGCGAGCGAAAATCACTAATAAATTGTAACAAAAATAATATTACAATAGTAGCATATCATTTTTTTTATTAAAAAAATATCAAATAAAAGATATCCATTTTTCATTTCATAATTAATATAAATAAAAAATATATATCATATATAATATGTTTATTTGTTGATAAATAAAATATTAACATTAAATATAAATAAAATAATAGGCCGCGTTATATTTCGCGAAATAGTTTTCGCTATATTGTCTTCGCGATTTATGTTTCGCGATATTAATTATGCTATAAAATTTTCTCGATTATTGATTCGCGATAAAAATTTCGCTCTAATGTATTCACTTTAAAGGTTTTGCGATAAGAGTTTCGCTATAAAAAATTTGCGATATTTGTTTCGCTATATTGTTTTCGCGGAAAAGTATTTGCTAATGTGGATTCGCGATAAAAGTTTCGCTATAAAATTCATTCGCGATAAACGACATTCGCGATAAAAGTTTCGCGAAAAAGTGTTTCGCGATAAAAGTTTCGCTGAATTGACATGGAACCTTAAAAAATATATTTATTATTATACGAATTATTTTAAATTAAAAGTTCAAAAATTGTTGAGTGTGCTTAAATCATGGAACATATTTATCATAATGCATGGTATATCTTTTGCACAATCCTTTTGCGATCCTCATAAATTTGTATCTTTGAGATCGCAAAATAAATGCAAAGTTTGGAACATAATTTAATTTGCATTTTAATGGGTTTGTACTCATTATTATAATGTATTTAAAACAAATATATACTTTAGTATTTTAATTATAATATCACTAATATAATTTAAAAAAGTGAATTATAACATAACAATTTTTTATATCAAATACTTAAAATAGAAATTTAGCAAGTTTAAAAAATTATTGGATTTAATTCATCCTGGATAGATGGCTACTCTATACCGTCCATAAGAAAAATTTAAGCATATTAAGATATTGTTGACACATCTTCATAGGCCCGGCCGGCCCACGACCCATCGGGGCCTAATATTATATTTTCTTGAGGGCTAGGCTTGGGTTTTTGAATTTTTTTAATGGGCTTAGGGCTATTATTATACATTTAGACATAGTTATTTTTAGAATATTTATTAGGACAAATATAACAACTCATTATAATTTACACTAAACTACTTGACAATAACTATAAAATTTAAAGTGTTTAAGTAATAAACATGATTTATATTTTGAAGAATCCTATTTTATTAACAATAGCATGTTATATGTGCAGCGCTTTTTAGATTAGGTTTAATAAACATGGTTTTTAGAGGCTAAAAAGAATAAATACATCAATATATAACTTTTGGCATAT